TACTCTACTTTGTGGTGTGTTTTTCGTTTTGTGTTTTTGTTTTGTTTTGTTTCACACCATACATTCAGCAGGTACGCGGTGGTTCCTGGTTTTAGTGGGATTTTTATTGATTGAATGTGGTAGTATGCATGGTTATATAGAGTTATATAGAGTTATATATATAGATACCTTTCTTTGAGGTTTTTTTCTTTGCCGACCGGTCGGCTTCTTTGCGTTTCTCTATTTTCATTTTAATTATTTAAATAAATAAGATTTTTCCATTCATTTAGGTTTATTCAGGTTCATTCATTCAGGTTGAAGCTTCCAGAGGAATTCATCGTGGACGATCAGAATGGTTGTGGTGTCACGCTACGTTCGTTCATTCATTGGCAAAGAATGCACGCCTGGCTGGGATTTGTTTTACGATTTTTTTGCGGTTCCTTTTTTGCCAGTTGGCTGGCTTTTACGGCTGGTTGGTTTCGCCGCGGCTCGTTTTACTATTTTCATTTAAATTAATTAAATAAATGAGATTTTTTCATTTTATTCAGGTTGAAGCTTCCAGAGGAGTTCATCAGGGAAGATGTCAGGCTACGTTCATTCAATCAGTGGCAAAGAATACACGCCTGGCTGGAATACGTTTTATTCTTTTTTATTTATTTTATTATATAGAGTTATATAGAGTTATATATGTTGCCTGTAGTTTGTGTGTGGTATTTTTTTTATATTTTAGGTGGGTTCTTTAGCGGTTGCTCATACACACATACATACATCATGTTTGTTTGTGTGGTAGTATTTTATGTTCTGTTTTACTCTTTTTTCTCTTCCTTCATGAGTCTTGAGTTAAGTTAATGAAACATAGGTAGGTGAGATTAAAAATTAATTTATTATGAAGGTAGGCTAGGGCATAAGGTAATTTAGTTATATAGGTAGGTTAGGGACTTCTATTCTTTTACTCTACTTTGTGGTGTGTTTTTCGTTTTGTGTTTTTGTTTTGTTTTGTTTCACACCATACATTCAGCAGGTACGCGGTGGTTCCTGGTTTTAGTGGGATTTTTATTGATTGAATGTGGTAGTATGCATGGTTATATAGAGTTATATAGAGTTATATATATAGATACCTTTCTTTGAGGTTTTTTTCTTTGCCGACCGGTCGGCTTCTTTGCGTTTCTCTATTTTCATTTTAATTATTTAAATAAATAAGATTTTTCCATTCATTTAGGTTTATTCAGGTTCAT